CTGTGGAACTGTGAGATTGAATAGAAGGGGTCTTCCAGAAGAAATTAGACCAGCAAGGATACAGCTGAAGAATGGTGATGATCCTGTTTATTACAGAAAGGGTAATATGTTTGTCTCCTCCTGGCATGACACTGCAAGGATCAACTTCCTCTCAACAATCGATAATAATGGCTACACTCTGAAACAAATTCGATCCAAGCAGTCAGAAACTGGATTTAGGGATGTGAAAAAGCCAAATGTGGACTGCAATTACAATGCTTCAATGGGAGGAGTTGACTTGTTTGACCAGAAATGTACCAGCTACCCATTACGATACAAATGCAAAAAGTGGTACCACGCAATTTATCACTTTATCAGAGGCAGCACTAGTCAACTCCTACATACTGAACACAACTGCCAACTCTAATTTAAAAATGAAGCCACATTCATTCAGGGAAAAGGTGGCAACCAGACTCTGTGCTTCTATTCCTCCAAATAAATTTGAAAGGAAAGAAAAGAAGTCGACAGATAACCCAGAGGATAGGGCAGAGCGACTGACAAGGCATCACTTTCCAATGGCTTATCCAGATCCAAAATACAAGCCTAACTGTGTAGTGTGCAGTGAAAGCCCTTCACATCCAAAGAGGAAGCAAACCAGACATGTATGCATGAATTGTAAGGATGGGAGGAGGCAACTGTTTTATTATTCTGAACTAAAGTCATGATACTGAGATTTTCTTCCAGTTTTTGAATGGATTAAATGAAACAATCTAATCTACTTACAACTACAATGAAAATGTCATACCATTCTTAGATGTTCTTGTAGTATCTCGATCAAGAAAATTAAATTATTGGGCCAAAAGGGAAGGAATTATTTAAGGTGAAAGGTTCTTTTGATTGTAATGCTAAAAATGTAATATATGTTTTAAAATGTTCTATTTGTTGAAGAATCTAAGAATTAATTTACAGAGTTATCATCCCAGTAAGTAAGCATTTTATTTCTGTAATTCTAAATTTTTAACTGACTGAATACACCTTTTTTCAAAGTTTTTCCCTTTTGGAATTGTAATGAAAAAGAAAAGATTAATATCTGAAAAATGCCTTATTGGCTATTTTAACACTTCTTTAAATTTCAACTGAAAGTCATTAGGAGGCAAAATGTTTAATAAATAGGGTTTAAGAAGCTTTGGCACATATTTCAGATGTGCCTTAAATATACTGTGAATAACCACAAAGAAACTTTAAGGTAATTCAGCACAAAGTAATTAAAGCATTTTTCAAAAATATCTGTAGTCTGTGGAATTTTGGTATTGTATTAGAATAATTTTCTTGTTAATGCCAAAGACATTTCAATGCTAATGTTAATTTAAAGACTTTTTCATTAGGTTTTGATCTGAAACATTACTAATGACATAATTTATCTTGTAACCATAGTTTTTAAAAAATCTTTAAAAATTTAACTGGTAAAAAAGAAGGATTTAAATTATTTTTATACATCATCATGAAGTAAAACCACTTTGAATTACAGTTTATACACACACACACATACACACAAGCATATATATATATATATATATATATCCACTATTTTCACAGTTAATTTGATAGAAAGACCCATTTGTGTAGTCTTCATTATTGTAATGATTGTTCAGTAAATCCTTTATTGTTCATGCAGGTTTTTGTATAAATTTTGCTTCAATATCTATGTTGTTGTTTATAAGTTTGTTTTATATCTACAGGGGACAATTCCTATAACTTGGTTATCATTTATTTATTTCTATTTAGAAATTTTATTATTGCTTGTTTTTCCTCTTCAATTGTGAATTTTATGTTATAGTGGATGGAACATAATATGTTGTAAATAATAGTATTGTTCATTCTAGCTATCAGAACTACATAAAGCATCATTAATGTATCTCCATCAAGTGCATGGGGAAATACAGCTGTTTATGCCGCTTTTATTTCTATAGAAATCATAACTATGTTTCCCAGCATGGCTGATAGAGGATTTCCCATGATAAGTAAATTTTTTAAATGTAAAATTGTACTAAGAATTCAAAACAGTTTATTATTGCAATATCAAACAAAGGTTTTAGCTCTGTTGAATTAAGATCTATTTTATGGTTTTGATTTAGTTTCTTTATCACTATGTTAATGCCTATGAATATCAGCCTTTGTGGAAATACTGAAATTATATCGAAGCTACATAGTTGGTGTTTGGTGTTAGTTTTTTAGTAATTTTTTGTGACTCCATAGGGACCTGTCACTATTGTTTCTGGCATTTTTAAACCACCACAAATGTTCGGCTTCTATTATTTGAGTTTAAACGCTACTGTAATTTATTAGGTTGTCAAGAAATTAATGTCACGTTTTGGAACACTTTCATTAACCACCCCCGAAAAACCGCACATCATGTATAATAGTTGAACGAACTGCCTAAACGTCACATTAGTGTAGCCTATATAATATGTAAAGTTTAGTATACTCTAATCCCTAATAGTGATGGCACACGACGACACACATATTCGGCATATAATGCTGTTTGAATACAAGAAGGGAAACAACGCCTCTGTAGCCACAAAGAATATCAAAGAAGTTTATGGAAATGTTTTGAACATTCGTAAGTGTCAACAATGGTTCGGTAACTTTCGTTTCGAACTCCTCAGTCCACAGCAAACTGTCAATGTAGAGATCTATAGTCAGCAACTGGAATGTTTAAATCAATCCCTTCATCAGAAACGCTTATCAATCGGAAAGGTGTTCATTAGTGGACATGCAGTATTAATATTGTAGCAATTAGAGGGACGTTCAGTATTAATATTGTAGTAATTAGTGGACATGCAGTATTAATATTGTATCAATTAGAGGGACGTTCAGTATTCATATTGTAGTAATTAGTGGACATGCAGTATTAATATTGTAGTAATTAGTGGACATGCAGTTTTAATATG